AAAAAAAAACTTTTTTAAAAAGAGGATAAGACAGGATTACTTATTTTAAATTATTTATTTCAGATACTCCAAAATTGATCGCATTTCGTATTTCACATTAAACAGTTTAACCGAACGTGAGCTTTATAATATTCTTATCTGATAAATAATGCTACGAATAAAATAACAAAAATAAATTACGTACACAATTATAGTGCATTTTATAACTGTACAGTGTGTATAATATTATGTTTACTTTATAGATAAATCAAAACATGTTTTGGGGATTTTAATTATTTTAACCAAGGGCACCAATAAAATACTATTGTCTAAATACATTATAAGCCAGTAACAAAAATTATTCTTCCATTTTAAATAATTGAAAAATATAACAACTTCATGGTAGTTGGATGTGGAAGTTTATTTGTTTAACTGGTTTCTTTTTATACTCATTATAAAAACACTGAAATAACTATACTACAAAATATGTATTCACCAGAAGAAATAAAATGCTTCCCATAAAATATTATTTTAAAATTCAATGTCTTCTAATAGAAAACAGTTAGTAGTAAATTAAATTATATTATTTTGTATTTATACATTCAAGGACAAAATATAATCATGGATAGAAAGCAAATAAAAATTGCCTAAAATATTATTTTTTCAAGTTTATCTTGATGGTAAAAACATAAAAATCTAAAAGAAAAAAACTTGGTTAGTATTTTGGATGGGTTGGTCTTGAATTATCATTAAATAGTCATTAAACTGGTTGTCAGTTGTCTACCATACATTTTAACTTTTAAATTATCGCTTAACGGCATGCTAAATTCACTTACCTAGTTACCTACATAATTTATATATGTCTACTAGTATAATACTACATCAAGGATAATTTTCGCATTTATAAACATCGAAATATTTACGAATTTGAGATTTGCGTTAAGCGGATTCGATACCGTGATTTTCTGTTTTTGTCTAACACACGCGTGACATAGTATTTTAGACGTGTTTTTTGCCAAACATTCCAATTGATCTATTGAAGCGATAAGATATCTGAAAACAGATTTGAATTTGACGTCAAGTCTACTTGAAATCGACTTTCCCACATTTTGGTTTTTGATTTTAACTTCTCCAAAAATTGAAATAACAGAATTTTTAAATACTCTTTTTGAATATGACATTTTAAAAAATTTGGGGGATAATATCAAAAATGTGGGAAAGTCGATTTAAAGTAGACTTGACGACAAATTCAAATCTGTTTTCAGAATTCTTATCGCTTCATTAGACCAATTGGTATGTTTGGCAAAAAACACATCTAAAATACTATGTCGCGCGTGTGTTAGACAAAAACAGAAAATCACGGTATCGAATCCCCTTAACACGTATATACGAAACACTAACGAATAAAAATATAAAATGTATTTTTTCATTTTTTCACGCATCTTTAAGGATCTTTTATATTTTAGTCGAGATTTAAGACACAATTTAATATATTATGTTACCTTCCCAATTTTATATCCTAAATTAGTTTTAAAACAAAAATTAATAAAAACGTAGATATCTGTCATGGAAAATAATGTCTGTAGAATAATATTTTATAGTTTAAAAATAATATATACCTAGGTAGTTAGTTTGGTATACGCTGGTATAAGAACACCTTATATTACATTATCAACTGATTTTAATTACAATAATAATAATTATTGTTATTGCTAAAAAACAGTGGGTATAAGTTGAGGAAAAAGCTCAAATATATGTAGAATTTACGAGTATACATACTAGCTATAAACTATAACCGCATTATATAACATTCGAAGAAAATATATTTTCCTTATTTCCTAACATATATTATTCGCTGAAATATTTTCTCAATCATATTCAAAAGTTAACGATAACTCGACACGCATTCAAATTTTGTAAATTGTAAATTAATTTTTTTAGTAAGTATTACTTATATATTGTTACACTGTTACACTAGAAATTCCGCAAAATCCACTCATATATTATATACTCATGTATATACGTACTGATGGCTCACACATGCCCCTTCACTTCCCGCGGGAAATCTTCACCAGACTTCAAAGAAAGTGTGTTATTGTGATATTATAATTATTTGTTTTATTAACCTTAATTAAAGATATTATCCCATTCTAATATAGAGTGTAGGATGATTTAAACACGCTCAACTCTAATTTATGTATTTCTTCCTCATTTATCGCATCATATATTAGGTACTTAAACTTATTATTGTGCAAATACCTGTATAGATTGTACACAATAATTATTATACCCATTACCCAATCATACATATATGCTTGAATAAGAAAAACATTTTTTGTAATAGATAGGTACTAGCTATGTTTAACAATAAATTATAATATTGAAGTTTCTCATTACTTATTTAAATGGTAATTAGTAATTACATAATATTATGTTTTAAAATTGTTTATTTATTTAACAAATGATCTATAGACGAGTGATAATTTATGAATAGATCAATAGACCAACGATTGAATCATCGCATCATCAACAACAACGAATTATAAATTGTAAACACGTTAAATAATGTCGTTTTGTCACTGTAATAATAATATGATACATATTATCTAATTTATTAAAACATTACTATAGGTATATCACATTGTTGTAAAAATCTAAACCATCTTAAACACTGCATAGTGCTGTAGGTATACCATATACGGATATATACCTTTATGGAAAAAAAAATTTCTATAATATAACGATAATTCTTTACGCGAAATATGCGACAAAGCCAAACTCGCACGTTTTATTGTCATTTTTGTCACGCGCACGTTTTGAGAATAATAATATATTGGTATTTTAGACGTGTAATATATTAGGTACTCACCTATAATTGTATTATTATTATTATAATTTACTATAAATCTACACCCTTACATAGATGGTAGATCAGTGGTCACTGGGTTTTAAGTTTTCAATTTTTATTCCCACCTATTTTCTTATTTCTTACATCTATACCTATACGTATATAATATAGGTACGCAGGAACTTACTTTAATATAATATTTTTAATCGAATTTTTCGAATCGTAACAATATCAATTCTTTCCACTGCACCGTCATGTCGAGTATAATATTATATCATTGTTGTTATTACTATTGCAGACGGCCGTGGTTTTATCCAACAGAGATATGTGTTGAGCACGATGGGCTTCATGGCTTTGGCCATTGGCTATGTCCAACGATTCTGCTTGAGTTTGGCCATCACCGAAATGGCTGAACAATCGCACCATACGGTTCACCAGAATGCAAACTTGGGCACGGTGTGTCCGAGCAGCAGGTCATTCGGCAACACGACTCACTTCAAAAAGGTATGACGACATTGGTATTTTCTATTTTTTATTAACTCATACACTAGCCAAAAGCCTGAAACCCAAATAATCAAAAACACATGACTACGTCACATTATAACTCACCGATAGTACAACCAGTTGCGTAGACAAAATTGCTTTTCCAGGGGGGGGGTTAAACATTTAAAATATATTTTTGACAAATTGTATATGAAAATGATTTATTGACGAAAATGCAGTACCGCATTTAGACATTTTGCGCCCCGGTGAGAAAAAATTGCTCCTCTCTAAGGGGCCTACCCACGGAAAATATGGATTCTCATTAACCTTTTAGATTTTGAGCACAGAAAAAATATTTGTTTTACAATGTGTGCTTTTTCAAAAATATTGTTTAGCAGTGGCGCCCAAGATATATTTTTCAGGTGTAGCAAGAAAACATTTTACCCATACACCTACCCCCTTAAAACTCAAAATTATATTATTTAATATATTTTATCATATTTGTATTGATAATATTAGTAAATATTAAGGTATCAACCAGTATAATATGTGATTAATTATGAACATATTTCAAGTTTATTATTTTTTGTTATTATATCCATCCACCCCTTATTTTCAAGGTGTAGCGACCACTACACTTAGAAATAGGGTTGGGCGCCACTGTTGTTTAGTAATTACTTGATCCTCTCTCCGCAAAGATACATTTGAATTTATGTCACTTAGACCTTGCTTATAATTCATCATATAAGTTGTTTTTTTAACATATTTAAGTAGGTACTTCATGAATAAATAAAATACAATCATATAAAACTGCAAATTAATATTAATTAAAAGAATTTCAAACAGCATACTACTATATATATTATATATAATAATATTATACTAAATTATATTATATAATAGTGTTATTAAAATAATTAAAATTATAAAATTTTAATAATTCACAAGTAAACAAATTTCTGACCAGAAAATTTTGGAGGCAGTTGTACCCAGCGTCCTCCCCTAAATGCGGCCTTGAGAAAATGTTGTTATTATTTAACAATTTTCTGATGGAGGGGGTTACAACCCTCCCCCTGGTTAAGCTACAGAGCACAACAACCGAGTTACAGAACCCCGAATAAGTGAGCGAATAAATTGCCTCGTTATGTTCTGAAAGTGAAAATATTTAGGACTACAATAAATTATGTATCATTTGAATGTGAAATACATTTCAGAATATTATTATCATACTCAAAGCTTTGTATTTGTCTAATGTCTACAAGGTTACCTACGTTTCGAATGCAATAAATTTGTAAAATATATACAATTTAAACAAAATACACGTAGAAAATAAAACCCATAAAATAAGTCTTATGTAAAATATATCGGTCCATATATATATATATATATATATATAAATCATCTAAGTCTAAGTTGTTAAAATAATAATTGTAAGCTATAATAACCTTGTAGTTGATGCTGAAACAATAATAATAATAAAAAACCTGTAAAAATGTGATTTTAGCTTAAGTGCTGAATACACGTGTATAGCTTAGGAGAATAATACAAATTTAAGTGACATTTCTTCGGTTGATTGGGTTATATTTAACCGTTTTAAATTTTTATTCACAAAATGCGTGTGCTATGATATTGTAATTGTGTTGGTTTGTAAAATAGAACATATTCACTGATCATCGTGGTAAATTCATAATATACTCTTAATAATAACTAATACCCGAACACTTCTTATAATTGTATTGACGTTCAGTATTCGTCTGTACATTATCGTTTGTGCTTCGTTGTTACCTATATAATTTGTAACGACACATATATAGCAACTAGTAAGTAAGAAGGTATCAAATACCTATGTAGGAATGCATATGATGTTCACAATAATAATAAGCGGTAAAAATGATTTGGTCGAGTAATAAAAATTTAATGTATTCAGTATTGTCATTGATAGTGCCATCGTCTATACCCAATACTTAACACGTCTTATAATATGAATTTATATGATTCCAAGCAATTATTATTAGCATTGAACTAGCTGTATCTACAGTTAATTCGTAATTGTTTAAAAGCGTTCAAGAATTTGGAATTTAATAACAGCTATAGTAAAACTATTTTTATAGTTTGTATTGATGTATAGTATTTAAGAATAAACTATTGTACCTAAAGTTATATTTAATTTAATTTTATCAAGGATGGAAAATGTCAGGTTTCATATGAGTAATTACATTTAAACTACAATGATAATATTAATTATTGTACTATTGTACTATAATAATAATATAAACGGGCAAGATAAGTAAGTTATTAATATTTTAATCAAGTTTGGATGGATTAAATTCGTTCAGTCGACGACAATAGCTCTGTGTTTCCAAATATTTGAAGATTGAAAATTATTCTTACGATCCTTTTATGAGTAGGTATAGTCCTTAATAATGGCCAAATAAAATATAAAATATACTCATATAATATTAATTAATCTATAGAATTTATTATATTCGGACATTTCTAGAATTAATTTTAAATTGATTGTTAGATAAATATAAATTACGATAATTTTCAAATCATCATGGTAATTAGTATATCGTTATGATAATTATATAAACCTATTGGACTATTATAATTATGTTCTTATTATAGTTATTCCTTATTAGTTATTAGTTATTACATAAAGTTTTGTCACTCAAAAACTATTCCCTAAAATCATGATCAACATTTTCAATCAAAAAAACTACGTGATTGACAATATACAATAAAAGATAGAAGTTCGCATTTGAAAGAAATAATCATCACATCAGAACACTCCTCTTATGAGTAGTATAAAAAATTTAAATATTTAAAATGAAAATATAGTCTATGTTAATTGTTAATATGTTGTAGGTAGGTACATAGTAAGGTATATATGTAGTATGTATGACGTATGTATACTTCAAAATTCCAAAAATCAGAATTTTAGGACACAGTATGCCGTTTTTGACGTAGCGTTTTCCGGATGAAATAGACTCCAAACTGATTGGTTGGGGGTATGTTGCCATAAAATGTACTGAAGTTATGCTCAGTTACTCAGCACAATTTTAATAATTTCAATAATAATGTTTAGCAAGCATCATTTTTCGAATCGTTTTCACTTAACCGCAATTGTATGCATTTATAGGGGGGGGGAGGATGGAAGGTGTGATATATTAACCGTGTTGCCAAAATTAAGTACAGAATATTTTTCTGTGTTTACCATAGCTAAATGGGTCAGTAAAAAGTGTATCGGCGGAATCGACAAGTACAAAATATGTCCGGTAGAATCGATATTAAAACTGCAGGATAGATAAAACCCCGGGAAAACGTAAAATATTTAAAATTTAAGTCACTTAATTACTTACTTAGTTACTTACTTGACTCGGGTTAAAATCTAATCAATTTTTATTGAACAATGTAATAATAATTTAAGTCTGGTTTATTTAACGCATTCTAAATAGCATTTAAATATAGGTACCTATACGTTCTTATAGATAGGTACCTACTTCAATGCACGCAGGTTTAGTGTTTAAGTGAGTTTTTCAAAAATTTAAAAACCAAACTTGGGTCTTCAATAAGCTAACAATATCTGGGATCTTTAACTTGTATGTTTGTTGAAGCAGACATCATTCAATTTTGAAACAAAGATGAAATTATTGTTGTTATAGAATCTTTCAGCAATGGATTTAAAAAAAAAAAAACTTCTACTTCTAATATAATTTATAATTTATTTAAATAACGTAGTTTATGTTTATTACAATTTTTTTTTTCTATAATGAAAATTAATTTTTATTAAATGTGTGCAATATTGTAAAAAGCATCTAAAACATTATTGGTTAAAATTTTTTTTAGAACAACTTTATAGTAATAAATCATTTTTAATTCGAAAATAAAATAATTTTATTGCAATGTTTATTGAAAGGCAATTAAATTATTATTTAAGTGTCTTTGGGGCCGGGGCAGACCTACACTGTCTGCCACTGGCTGATTGCTCATAATATTATACAACGTGTGTCGTGTTTTTATTAAACCTATGTGATGCACATAATAAATTAATTATTAGGTATTAAAGGATAAAAGAGAGATAATCGGCGTAGGTTCTTGGGGAATCTTCCTGCGTGCACATCACGTGATGTAATTATATTGTAGAATTGACATAATGGATTTATAATTATTATGTCGACAGCCAGGAAAAATTAATTTTCAGAAATCTAAAAACTTGCAACATCTGGTACCCGGTAGGTATAAAAGATACTAATAACACCGCGATCGGTGTATATATATACCTATACCTACTGTTACAATATAGGTATAGGTATTTCAACGATATTGTCGTCGGATAATTTCGCGGACAACAGCGGAATGCACGCAAAGACTGCAAGGTAGTGCAAAAAACGGAGTGCCTTCATATATAATAGAGGAATGATGGATTGACATTGCGCGCCTGCGGCCCTCACGAGTCACGCGAAGATCGATCGATCCGTCAATCGATATGTGTAACACGTTTGAAGGTTTTGCGATCATCGTCAGTGTAAAAAAAAAATAATTCATCCACGTGTAGGTATAGACTATAAACAGTATCCGCAGTATCTATATATATATATATATGTCTATTGTCTATACCATATAGCTGCATGTACCGTATACCGGGTGATACATTCGACGCGAGACGCATTCGTTGTTTCGATAACTTCTGACGTTTTTGGAAATATTTTTTTTACCATAAATATAGGTAAGCACCAGTGTTTTTGGGCTGGGTGCAGATATTTTATTTTTCTGACCGATTTTTTTCTGACGCTTTGTTTATCGCCATATAGTAGCGAATGAAATGTAAAAATTACCTAATTCCCACTAGGTATATAGGTATATTATTATATGAACAATTAATGGTTACCTACCTAATTATTAATACATATTACTTATGATTCATACGCTTTCTTCGAAGTGGAAAATATCGAGTAGCGTGCTAAGTATAAATCACAAAACTTATGGTTAATATATATACAATATACATACGCAGACATACAGCAGACATACAGTAATATAAGAAACTATTTGGATAGAACAATATTAATAAAAAAAAAATGAATTTGATTTAAATAAAATGTATCTAGATAAGTAAATGAGTCATCAAATATAACCAATAGATAAATAATTGTTTATCTAGATAAGTCTGAACACTGTTCAGAAGTAGGTGTATGGGTACACGGCAAAATGTTGTTCCTCTACTATGCTCGTATAAACTTTAAATACCTACCTATTTATAAGTTTTTTTTTTTTTTTTTATTTATTTGAAGAAATCTACAATCTATACATGCTTTTTGTACAATAAGTAGGTTTGATATATGAAAGGTAAAATATGATATGAGTAGTTAGATTAGGGAAGATACCCAGTGGTAACACCCTATGACATTTATAAGTTATAACTATAATATTAACTATAGGTACTTGTCTGAAATTTATCTGTTTCGGAATTTTATATCAAAAACATTTGTCATTCAAAAGAGTAAAAAGTTTTTGTAATAGGAGTATTTTTTCGAAAACGTCTGTGTTTTGGTAAATGGACATTTCCCCCCTACTGTTTTAGGTCTAGTTGGACATTTTCCCCCCGATATATTTTTGTTGCCGACATTTCCCCCCTAATTTTTTTTAAAGTTTATTATTGACTAATAATAATGAATTTAATAATACAATATTATTTATTATTTAATATGAAATTATTATTTTTTAATAAAATATAAAATATGTAAACTTTTTTTATTTTCATAAATATAATAGATTATAAATGTATATGTTTGATCCACTGAACTACTTGAAACAAAAGCAATTAAAAAAAATAAGTATAAATAAAATATAATTAATAATAAATAAAAATAGCTGAAAATGCGTACATAAAAATGACACATTATGTAAAAAAACATTTGCAGATTACTGATTCTTCTTGTGTTTTCCGAAATCCAGACCGTCTTGCGTTAAATGGATCACCCCGTATACTCGTGTACCTATACCTCTGTACATAGGTACATCATAAATATAAATGTTAATATTGGTATTAATATTATAGTAGTTGTAGTTTTAGATTATATACAGTGCGTGTATGGTCGTGGTCGGCATAGAAATGAGAACGGCTACCTTATGGCGATATAATAATTAGTCGTTTACAAAAATGGTAGTGTCGGATGATTCTCATGTGCTCTGCGGCGGCGGCGGTCGCTGCGATGTGCGTGCCGCGTGCGTATAATATCTCATTGTCATATATATAAATATATATTATATATTATACGCGAATGCGTGTATAACATAATATTATTATATACCTAGGTATGTCAAATTGGCACAGCAGGCCGTCGTGAGAAATTAGTACAAGGGAAACGCGCCAAAAATGATAAAATAGTGTCTCGGCGAATTAGATGAAAAAAAGCCAATACCATACAAATACCAACAAAATGAAACACCGGCCCTGTATGCCAGCATATATTTTTGATCGATTTGTATAGCAGTAAATTTATAATAATATTATGCTGATGTGTGTGAAATAAAAGTAATTATCTGTAAACAATCAATATAATAGATGTTTAGACTTCAACAGATATATTTTATAATGATTTTAACAATACCTACATATTATAAGGATATATTTAATATAATATATAATATATAATACAATTCTTTACCCCGGGTAACGTATCGGACGGAGCAGCTATAGTATAATTATAATTATAAAATATAATTGATATTTTTTACATTTTTGTTAGTGTCAATGGATGACACTAAATTTATAAAAGTTTCCCCCCCAAAAAAAGGGTAAATTAAAAAATATATACTTCTAGGTCGGTATATTTTTTTTATTTTTTTTTTACATTTCTAAGTTACATTCGTTTAATTTTTTATCCACTATTGTGATATTACATAAAGTTTATCGAAATTAACAAACAATAATTACTATAATATACGTGTTAACAGCCTACAGTTCCCCCCTACAGTACCACAGGCTAATGATCTTTGTTGTCGAAGCCTCAACCCTAAAAAAAAAAAAAAAAAATTACTATAGTAGTATCAAAAAGTGTTTATCGAACAAAGCTTTACATTACATTTTTTGCTTTATATAATATACCTAGGTAAGATATACATTTGTTAATACCTACATATTATCATCTCATATTACATCTCGATATTTCGTAGGAGATTGTAAATCATACACAATAATAAATCCATAGTATTGCCTTATTTAAACTTTAATAATTTAGATGAAAATATAAATATATAGGGAATATAAGAAGTTGGGTAAGTTAGCACTTGGAGTGCACACATATTATATTATGACACGTGTGAATGATATATTTTGGTTTTTTTATTTCAAAAAACTACGATAGTATTTACGTATACCTAATTACCTATAGTGTTTAGAACATAACATCACCGGTATACCTACAAAAATATTGTATTATTTTTCTCGTTTCATTATATTATATTAGATTATAATATTAGATAAATGATAATGTCTGTTGTTGATGTAATATATTGAGATATTATGCATATTATGATACAACTTGTACTAATAATATCATTGTAAATAGGTAGGCACTTAATAGTTGAGCAAAAACAGCTTCGTACCGGATGTTATTGTTGATAATTATTTATAGGTGAACATGATCAATATTTATACCGGTGTGCCGAAATGTAAGTCATATTATAATAGGTGCCTACGAAGTACAGAAGTACAAGGTTATCGTATAGTAGGTAATATAATATTATCAAATATTATCTACGCAAAGTAATTTGTCCGCGGTTGAATAAACTCACATATTATAATTTCGTATATATAATAATAATATGTACCTATCCCTCAACCAGTTATTATTCGTGAATGGAATGATAAGTTTGTTGAGAATAATTTGTGCAATCGGAAAATTTGGGGAAATCTGCCGTGCCTTTTTTCAATGGGATTTTTGTATGGGTATAAATGGTTGCCATTAGTTGCATATAATATATTATAATATTTTATTAGCAAATTAGTATTATTTTTTTCTATACAAATTTCTATATAAATAATGTTTTGTTTTTAAGATTCTGTGTTGATGATGAATTTATTGGTTTTGTAATAATTATCTGTATTAATTGTCCGTGTCCGATGAGAAATTTTTCGGAACAAAAAATTTGCTTCAGTCTTCAGTATGGAATAATAGGTATCTATAGCAAATTTGATATAGGTAGGGAGCAGTAGCAATACTTGGGGGGGAGGTAAAAGTAGAAAAGTGGCAGTACCTACATTTTTGAAAAATCTGTAAAAAACTAAAAAAAACAATGAACAAACAGGAGTATTAATGGTGCACGTACACCTGCAGCTTATGAAAAAATCTATTTATGCTGTAATTCAAAAAGAAATCACCGTCTAGCGAGATTTTAGTCTAATATATTTTATACAAGCATTTTCTCAACATCTCACAATTTTCGAAATATTTTTAGACATTTGAGAAATGTTGGACATTTTAAGTATTTTTTATTTTTTTTTTGTAAATGTTTCTTATATTTGTTTCCATTATACTTTATTGTTTTTACACAAACTTATGAACATTTAATAACAATACTTATTATTTTTTTTTAAGGTTTTTTTTTATTTGAATTTTTAGATGAGATAATATATATATTTCATCTTTAAATTTAAATAAAGAAACCCCTTAAAAAAAATAGCTGAATATTATTATATTAGCTATTATAAGAAATAAGAATTAATAAGGCCCTTTAAACTATTTAAAATGTACATTGTACAATCGCCAACAATTATTATATTATAATAATTACACGATTACAAAAATGTTCGTTATTCATCAAATTATTCATTATTCAATGTCATCACTCATCAGTTTAATTTAATTTAATCTTATTCTTATAATTTAATATTTTGTTATCTTGTTATATAATAATTAACAAATCTAATTTAAGTTAATTTAGTTTGGCGTATTGCTTGTTCTTTTAATTTTTAGATCATAGGTTAGATTAGGTTATAAGCACGTATACGACCTTATGATGATTCGCAGTTTTTTTCTTAATATTTTTTTTGTTGCGCCAAAAAACCATTAATTCTGTTTTTTTATTTTTGTTTCAGGAAATGGAATTCGATTGGGACGAGAAGATCCAAGGGCTAGTGTTAAGCTCGTTCTTTTGGGGGTACGTAGTCACACAAATGCCGGGTGGCATGTTGGCCGACAAGTACGGAGGCAAAGCCACTTTGGGTTTGGGAATGCTGTTTAGCAGTGTAGGTACGATCATAACACCTGTTGTGGCCAGGAGCTATGGACCAGAAGCACTGATTATACTTCGATTGATTATCGGACTCGCTCAAGTACCTATGGATTTTATATTTTTTTATATTTTTCAAACAACAATAGTTTTATTAACACTGGTCGTACATAATAGTTAATAATCATAGATAAGTACTATATTATCTATGTTAATAATACATACCTATATAATTATATAAACAGACGATAGGCACCGATTAAATAACTATTAAGATATATTCAAACAAAATAGTAAATACCTACTTATCCACAACGTTAATCCAATGTGGAATAGATAGGTCGAAGGTAGGTATACATAGTATAACTACGTTAATAATGTACCGCTATCCACATACTTTTAAAACCATACAGGATCGGGGACCAGCACCCCTCCCCACACCCACAAAGTTTCGTCTCGACCATAACATATTCTATATAGTTATATATACAGGAAGGGGCCATTTATTCAAAACTCATACCACATTATTACATTGATTATAATTTACAAATCAAATTGTTTAACAATTTTTTGTAACATGACAATTATTCAACATGAATATTGTAATCCATCGAGATCCGAATTTGGCTCAAACGTTTTGTTTATCAGCATATAGGTAAAAAATCATAACCTACCTATTATTATTATTATATATCATTGACTATTATATTCGATAAATGTTGTAATTTTATTTTTCACTACCTACTGCTTGAATATATAATTTATATTAAGTAATTAAAACCGTACAGTTGAGTAGGTAGTGTATAATATTATGTATGTGACTTACAAATTACAATTATATATATTATGTACAGTACACTGTACATACTTCATACAACTTCAAAGGCCATAGATACGGTGATAGAATGTGTCCAATTTTAATCTAGCTTAGTTTTTATTTGTCAAACTAACTATGCTCAATTATAAAAATACATTAAAAGCAAATCACAATCTCCGATTCAATTTCAAATTAATAGTTGTTTTTTTTTTTATATATTGATTTAGGTGCCTATAATCTATATATATATATATATATATATATATTATGTTTTTATCCATTCATTAATTTATAAAATAATTTCATAATAAAACTAGATAATTATGAGTTATTATTTAGTACATGACTGTCATGACCTATGCACTTATTGCTACATGGGTATCTAATTATAATAATATTAGGTAAATATAATAGGTAGGTACACTATATGCTACTTGCCTACTAAGTAGGCATTTTAGTAATGATTATTGAATGAATACTCATAAGTTCTATATGTATGTATTCTAGTCACTATAGACTAGATATTATTGTTTTGAAAATAAGTAGGCAGTCGTAAATAATATTATTGTTAAACAGCCAAATGTGCTTGTTATGATGTCTTTATCTTACAAACGCATAGGTAGGTACAACGGTGTAACTGGGTAAAAAACTAGGGGGGGAATTATTCTTTACCCCATGCAAAAATATGTTAGGGGGCGAGTGTCTCCCCACAATTACGACAATAGGTCCCTTAAATGTAGCAAATTTAAGTTCTAAACTATGAAATCTCAAATATCCCATTTTCAATTTTGTATTGAGTAAGTAGGTACCTATTTTTAGTACCTAATTAGTAATTGCTAATAATTATTATTAATGTTATTGTGAATTGATCTATAATTATATATATCAAAAATGGTGCCTCATATATATTATTAAAATTATAATGTTTCTGTAAAATACCGTATAGGGAACCCTGTATTAATTGTCAAGCCTTATTTATTACAATTAAACATTTTTAACTGTAAAATAATTTCTAAAGTTTGAATTTCAAATGCTTACACAAAAGTGTTTGTTAATGTATTTTTGATATTTTTAATGTGTTGTAAGATTGTAAGAACAACTTCAGTGAGTGGGATCTTGTATAACCATTTTCAAGCTTTTGATGAAGCTTAACATTTTGATCTTTATTTATAGAAAAAAAAACTAAATACAGAATTTCAATTTTCAAATGTCTATAAATAGCTTAAAATAAACTTATTATTTCAAAAATTTCATATGTGTTTAGAAAATGATAATTTAAATATAATTTTACAAGTTTCTTCAATAATAATATTTAAATTACAGCGTAATAACAAATATCATTATTCTACATAGGTATTCAATGAAAATGTCCATGAAACTGTATTATTTTCATTTAACAACAGTGTTTATTTAAATATTTAATAACTAAAATGCATTTTTTTTTAGGGACCATTGTATCCGGCAATGAGCAGGCTACTCGCTTCGTGGGTACCAGTTGAAGAACGGGGTCGATTAGGATCTCTGGTATTTGCTGGTATGTAGGCCACAAACCCTTAGGTTTTATTTGACATGAATTGTATTAATTTTGAACATGCACATTTATTCATTTTTAGGAGCACAAGTAGGTAACGTTGCTTCTATGCAGTTGGGTGGCTTTCTTATGCGGTACACCAACAGTTGGACCAGTGTATTCTATGCATTCGGAGTGTTTGGAATATTTTGGCTGATGTTCTGGTTCGTATTGATATACAACCACCCAAATCGTCATCCATTCATCAGTCAAAGGGAAAAACAGTATTTGAACAGGGCGATTAACACCGTTGATCCAGAAGATGTTAGTCTTATAACAATAATAATAAACCAAATACATGTTATTATAATACACTCAACGTCTGTTACATAGGGCAAGTTATCAATTCCATGGAAGAGTATTGCAACATCAGCACCAGTGTGGGGATTGATCATTGTTCAGATAGGTCACGATTGGGGTTTGTTCACCATAATTACAGATTTGCCAAAGTATATGAAGTCAGTGCTGAAGTTCTCAGTAGTCGAAGTATAAACACACCATAATTGAACATATTATATGTAGACATATATTATTTTAAAAATAACTCATCAATTCGTAAAATGTTTTATTTCAGAACGGTTTATTGTCTGGCTTACCATACATAGTGATGTGGTTGGTAGCTATGGGTTCCGGTTTCATAGTAGACTCAATGTTATCATCCCAGTATTTCACAGTGACTTGCATCCGTAAAACATTTGTAACTATAGGTAAATCAGCTTAACAATTAAGAGTTTAATAATTGAGCATAAAATAAATGAACTATTGTTATTCCTTTTCAGCTAGTGTAGGGCCAGCACTCGGAATTGTTGCAGCATCATATTCTGGATGCGATAAGGTGTTAGCAGTAGCTAGCTTCACGATAGGTATGGGACTTATGGGTACTTTTGTACCCAGTTTGAAAGTCAATGCCTTAGATCTCAGTCCCAACTATGCTGGGACATTGATGGCTATTGTGGGAACAATCGGATGTTTGTCTGGAGTTATTGCACCTTATATTGTCGGCATTATGGTTCCAAATGTACGTTACACTGTATTATACTTATTTAACAGAATTGGCTTGAAAATTAAATTATTTTTTTTTTATTTAGAGTTCTATGGAAGAATGGCGTGATGTGTTTTGGCTGTCTGCTGCTATACTAATAGCCACCAACTTGTTATTTTTACAATATGGTTCAGGAAATGTACAACCATGGAATGAAAAGGCAAACCGCCAGTACAAGAGTAGCGATATTAATAATGAAAATAATACGGATTCGATACTAAAACCATTGTAAAATAATGACCCAATAAGTTTTGTACAGTTATAACTTTGTCTTATAATTTTTATACTAATTATTCTTAAGATATAACATAGGTAATATTTATAATAATTTAAATCGCACCAAAAGAACAATAGCGAGAATATGCAATTCTTAAGACAGATCTTAAAAACTTTCCAAGAGGTTCTGGATACCAATAAAATGTGAATGCAAAGAATTGTTTAGATGTGAAATATAATATGGTACAAGTTTTGATGATTTCAGTTTAAAACATTTATTAGTTTCTTTTTTGTTTAAAGAAAATCAAAAATACACAATTCATTTTTATTTAATGTAATCATTAAAAACATTAATGTAAGTCATCAGACTTTTTTCACAGCACAAGCAACAATTTACACCTTTTTAATAAAAATTCTTTGTTAATTAACCACATAGTTGTTAAAATATCTTTCAGGATTATTGGTATCCAGATCTTAAAATAAATAATGAGAATATAATTGACAAAATTAATGGATCAGCAAAATTTTCATTAAAATGAATGTTAATAATAATGAATTAACATTACTAAGTACATAAAATAGACATTTAAACTTCCATACATCATAATTTGTGTCATGTATGAATAAAGAACAATAAATATAATATGTAAATATAAATGAGAAAATACGTGAAACTAATGAACACCAGCAACACCTTTAACAGCAATGTTATTGGCATTTTCTCGTTTCACTTTCCTTCTCCTGTATGGATTATCCCTGTTATATTGCACACTGCGGTTGAGATCAATTGTATACATTGTGCCACAAATAAGTACATCAAATTTTAGTAAATTGAGTTTGTAGTGGTGTTCAATCTCGTCAGATGTTTTCTTATCATATTGCCACCAGCCTAAAATATGAAAAATTATGTCAAAATAAGTATTCACTCATGACTAAAAAAACAGGCATGTTAGCAAATTCGAATACTTTTCCTATCACTGCGCATGTGTGCTGTATAGATTATATAAAACTAATATACTAGTGTCACTGAGAGAGTGCTTCTCTTTTGCACATCCAAATGATCCGAGCCCTGGAATTGTGTACCCAAATTTCTCCCACTCTAACACTCTGGCATAGGTGGCGGCAGCCAGCGTTCGGACAGGTTATGGTGGGAATGTGCAAGATCGGATAAATTTTGGTCGCCACCCAGAAGCACTCTCTCAGTGACACTAGTATAGATGTATGTATATCTATGTGTGACCCAGATTTGGAATAAACGATAATTTCCATCCCAAATACATTGGGGTATTGATAAAGAACTCGTTTATTCCATTTCGGGGACACACTATATGCGCAGAACCATTTTGCTGACATGCCTGATTATTTAGTCATGTATACAGTACTACTATGATCTTCTGAAAACAATTAATGTCTTACCGTTTTTGCCTTCATAAAACCATTGGTAACCATCTTCAAGTGTTTCTACTTCTTGGCGTTCAAGAATCTTAGGATTTTTGTCAAAATCAATAGGTATATGTTGACGACACATTGGACACCTGTTAGTTTGCCGTGCCGCTCCTTTCACACACAAGAAACAAAATACATGACCGCATGGAGTACGAACAGGGTACACAGCTGGTCCCAAACATACAGGGCACTCATTATATTCGCTTTTAGACTTATCACCTATAATAATTCAATACAACAGGGATTAGTTTTGATTCACATAAGTCGAAAAAAATGTTCAAATGCTGCAGTCTAACCATTTTTCTTGGTTTTTTTCAAAATAGATTTCAGTTTGATTCCTGACGTTGGGTTCTCCTCAGCGTTAGAGCTTGTTGGCAAGGCAGAAGCATTAGACGCATATGCATCTTCTGGCAATTCAGCTGTTCATAACAATAATGAGACAATAATTAGTACAAAATTGTTCATTGATAATAAATAGGGCAGAGGACTTGTAGCTCTAAGAAAGTATTAAATATGCAAGCACTTATGCAGTATGCACTTAAAATTTTTTTTTAAATCCTAATTGAATAAAAGCCCACAATCCGCATGATGCGTACATGTCTCAAAGTGGTGGTGATGTCGCATGGTGTACTATACATTAGATCGTAAACGATTGACCATCTATTAATGAAATTAATTACAGCAAATTATATTATTAGCTTATCGAAAATCCTTAAGCGCTTGTAGGAAAAATGTGTGCCAGCAGACAGTCAATAATATTATACAACAAACGTTTAAATTGTTTTACCAACATTTTGACTGTATTGTTTGAAATAAAAGGAAACAATTGATTTAAGTTAAATATGTCTCAAGAAGTATAAAAGTGTAAAATATGCCCTAGAAACAGAACACGAAATATGCATTTATATGCAAAATAATATATCAAATCTAGCTTTGTGATAGCATGAAATGTGTATTTTTTCCATACTCTGCTATTTTTGTGACTGTGCTAAACAAATATGCAAATGCTACAAGTCTTCTGCCCTAATAATAAATAATAAAAATATTATTATAATTATATAGGTAGCAAATATAAAAAGTGATGTACACACATAAAATAACCTATAAACATTGCAAATGCAGACTAACCATTTTTCTTGGATTTCTTCGAAGTAGATTTCTTTTTTGGTACGAGCGTTTTCTTTTCTTCATCGTCTGACTTTGTGGTTGAGGCTGAAGCAGTAGACGAGTGACGATTTTCTGATGATTCGGCTGTACAGAACAAAACCGACGATTCATAAGTATACAACAACAGTGATGATTTGGCAAAACAGAGTCGTCTGACGACAATAAAAATAGTACGATAAGTGTTTAGGAAGTTTATAACAAAGTATTTTACTCCGGCATAATATCAAAACGTACCTATCTAGTAACAATAATAGAATTATAATCATAGACATAGGTGTACTAACGAATGGTTACTTACATTCGGGTCCATTCTCCTCAGACGTATTCTCATCAGACGTATGCTCGTCGTCCGCGATCTCGTCCTCGAGACGTTTCAGAGACGCGGCCATGTCTCGGAAACTGTGTTCTACGACTGGCGTATTATTTCAAATCGAAACCAATATTAGTGATGGTGAATTGATGTGTCTGGACGTCTGCAGGCGCTCGCAGCTCGTAATTCGTAAATCGATAAAGCGAATTGATATAAACAAAACAACTACGGAAAAAGAGCCGTTTGAGTGTGATAATCGACGACTGTTACCAAAGACCTAGTAACCGTAACCGAATGCGAGTCGTTGATGGGTGTGTCGACGGTGTTGCGCGTTGTTTACCGCTAGGGGGCTCTAGCGTCCACTGCCCGCAGCCGCTGACGATTCCGCGCACGAACTAAAATATTATTATGGTATACAGTGAAACCTCGGTAACTCAAATCGGTTGGGGGTTTAATTCGAATTATAGAACAAATTGTGTCTACTTGGTACTTATTGAAATGAAGGGGCGAAGATATTCCTTCGAGTTATAGAAAATTCGACTTATAGACTTTCGAGAGTCATCGAGGTTTCACTGCGTATTTCAATCATGTACTAACTAGTAACTACTACCATTGATTTTATAATATTATAAAATCAATGCTACTACTAAGATAATGTTCATGATTTTAATTCTCGATTCCGCGTTTTGTAGTTGTGCGTGTTTGCAACAGCAGGAGCTCGGGGGAATTTGTTTCCGATAGGCGCGTTTATTTTTTTTTTTAAAAGGTAAATTAATAATAATTATACCTATTATTACAATATTAATATTATTTATATTGTGGTCTGTCTCAAAGACTTAACCGCGGTATAGAAGATAACCTTATGTCTTTCTATGGCCTATAGGTATCGTGTTCGAGCAATGAAAAATATATAATATTATAATATGATCAATTAAAACTGCAATATTAGTTCCAATAATAAATATAATTTATATATTTGTGAAACCATTTTTAAGAACTATAACTTTAAGTCTAAACATTTTGATAACTTACTGTCTTACTGTAAGCTACTCGTTCGAATTTTGAATTAAGTACAACAACATTTTCAAAAGAAGGATTTTATTATACATTATATCAAAAGAAAAATGGAGGTGAACATATTATACAATGTACATAATTAGATAATTTTAATATATTGGTTATGAGATCGGCTGTGCCTCAGATCCATGGGCCCATGTGCGTAGTTTGGTATAATTATCTGTGGGGGCTATGTAGAACTAGAAAATTATAAAAACATATAAAACTATAATTTCGGATAAAATTTTAAAATGAAAGAAAACACCACGAGGGGACTACAAAAGCTGTGGGGGCTGTAGCCCCCATAACCCCCCTGCATAGGCGTAATCTTAATCTGGGGAGGACTGCCCCCACAGATATTTAACTGAGGGGGTAATAGGTAGTGTCTTTTGGTCCTCCCCCGACTGTTATAAGTTAAAATTCAATTTATTACTGATTTATATACGTTTTTTTTGTTAGTAGGTAGTACCATCATAGGTATACCTATAGGCTATAGGTTAGGTATACCTGTAAGTTTTTGATCTTTGTATTTATTTATTTTAATCTTTTTGTTTTAATATTTGAATATTGTCTATAGTCTATACTACTAACTAATAACTATATACCTACTGATTTATTTAATGGGAGGGGGTAAAGCCCCTTCATTTTCATACGTACCTTATCGATTTTTAGTTTTAACAGAGATTGCCCCCTACGAATTTACCCCAAATTAGGCCTATTTTCTGATATTTTTTATCTTTTAATTTTTGGTGGGAAAAGCTCATCGGCCGCTTCCACGTCGTGTAGGTACCTATACCAATATAATATGTTTCAAAACTATATTTGAGTCGTTTAGCATACTTGAACATGCTAATGACTTTTGGAGTTATATAGGTTAAACCTTCAACAAGTGTTACCTTATCTAGTATATTTTAATAAAATGAATGCAGTATAGCTGGAAAGAGGGCAGTTTATTAGGTAACTGCCCTGCTGTACAGGTCTTAGAGTCGAGTGTGTTTAATGTCCAGTCATTGAGAAGATCACTGCCGTACTTAATGGTTGAATTAAATTTGAATTCTATAATAAATCATTGCATAATATGAAAGATGATTCTGAGCGGAGACAGTCGCGATGTCGCGATACGCCTACATTATACTATGGTTGGTGTATTTTATCATATATTTGTGTTGGGTATATTATTATTTGTTTCACTATTGTCTATTAGTGATACAGTATCAAATAGCAATAGCTTAAAATTATAATTTAAATATTTTTGAAATGTCATTGCTTATATTAAAATATAATAATATAAGTAGAAGTTGTAAGTTCCCATTAATCATTTTAATTTACAACAAAATAACAAACTAAAATCACGTTATTTTCTGTTTAAATATACGATTTTCTCAAAATTTGAACTTATAATGTCTATAAAACAAAATTATGAATATTTATTTAGATATTTATTAGACTTTTACGTTTCACTAAGGATTACTGTAGGATTTTGTATTAAATTGTCAAGCTTTTTGCCCAAGCATCAATTTTACTATCAATAATTGAAAAAAAACTGAATTTGAATAATTTCTTTTGTTTTTTTCAAATTATTAAGAACATTTTTGGGAATATTTACTTTTGCCCCCTCCCCCTTCCCAACTAAAGTAGTAACTATATTCACTTTTCTGCCAGAAAATGTAATATATTAAAATTGAAGATTGAAGCATTTTTACTTTTCCAAAAGGTATTGCAAGCATAAAAAATAACAAATCATTGTAAAATCAATAATTTCATCGCCCCGTTGTGAATCTAAAATATAATGAAAAAATATATTTACATACATATTTTACATAGTTTATATACATATAGCCATATAGGTATCATTACAATATTGCAACAAATAAAAAAATGAAGTGTATAGTTTGTTTCTGCTAAATATAAGGTTATGACTGCAGCAGACGACAATATTGCTATAAATACAATTAATCATTGTGTTTTCGATTGACAAACCAATACAGTCTTAGTGTGAGGTAGTATCCGATTTCGATGAAAGACAGAACGCTGCAACCGAGAAAAAATGACGCCGTACCTCCGAGGGAAACTGAAATAGTGAAATTATTAGTTTAAAGTAAAATGTAGGTACATGTAATACATTATAATATGATATTATAGTGTGTAAAAAATATTATTGAACTTAACATAAATATAGCATTCGTCATATTGTATAGTATATTACTATATTAGTGCAACATACTACTACCATGTAGGTACCTAAATGCGATTTATAGTGCAAGTGCAATTATTGTGTATTACACATTTACACAGTATAACTATTATGAGTAGACGTCATATTTTATTTTATTAGACGAAATGGAACGTTAAGACGACCACGACATGTACCTACTGCACATTATTATGCATTATACACGCCGTCATCATTAGGTATATTGTATACATTTTATTTTATGCTAAAAGCTATATTTTATGAAACTATAATAAAATTTGACAAATGGCTTAATTATATTTTATACTCGTTAAAATTGTTTACGGTGTGTTTGAAATCGTATATACATTCCGGCGGCATTTTTTTAAATACCATTTATTTTCTTTTACAACACGTTTCCTATTAAAGCTGTATGGGCGTATGGCCATAACCTATATATTATATATATTGTATTATATAGCTGTATCCTTTCTGTCTGTACTCAATTTACAATATTATATCGGTTTACATGTATGCAGTGGCGTAATTATGAGAGCTCTTCCTCCATGTCATTTGTGTCAGGGGGCAATGGTATCTCTCCAGATATGCCAACAGTAGACGTTTTTAAACCTTCTAAAATATAGAAAGAATACAATATACCTAGTACAATATTTAACATACATATTTTATAAAATGAAAATATTTTTTCCCTCAAATTATTGCATATAGGTATTTACGTTTCTACTGCTGCATAGTGCACAACATCTGTATATATTATCTATTATGTTGACGTATAATGTCAACTTTATCGCATTATGGAGGTTGCAAAAGTAACCCAATAATGTTATTTCACGAATTATAGCAGCTTTTTTTAAGCAACTCTTTTATGTAGATACTTAAATAGTTAAATACTTATTTAATGGTATATGGGTACTTACCACCTATACCTACGATTATTGTTTCTATAAGCCATAGAATGTGTTGTGTAAAAACAAACAATTAGGTTATGGTTTCGATTTCGGTGAATAAATCAATTTGCCCCCCCCCTTCCTAGTTTTTTACTCAGTTACGCCATCATTGCCTGTATGATATTATACATAAACAATATAATATAACTTATACATTAATTTCCACCGCCTCCATATTATTATCACGGTGTCGTGCGCTCGAGTTTTACCAAGAATTATACACTCTGCTACTCTGCATCATCAATTACCGACGGATTTATGTCCAACAGCGTAAATAACGATTTAGTATGGATTTATATAATATTAAATGCTCCTTCGCCTGTAAAATGTTACCGGCACAGCCTCTCGGGGGCTCGGGCATCGCGTGACGGAATCGAACGAGCGCTCGAAGAAAACGTTTTACGTCTTTCATTATGCACCGACGAACAAATTAAAATTATTATTTATTATTATTTCATAATAATTTGTATAATAACCACTGAGACGCGATATGTATTATAATATTATAGTAACACATCCGTGGTCACAGTGATTGCAGTAACAGTTGTGTAATACGGCAATCGGTCAACAATTCGTGAGACAATAATATAGTTTGATTTTAAAAAAAGTCCGGACTCGTTTTCTATTGTCGGACAACAATAGTCTGGATACAATTTGCATTTTGCACAAAACTCTTCTTTTAAACTGTGTATGGAACAATAAAATATTTGTAAATCTTAGGTAAATCAGGATTATCTGCAGGGCAGTTTATAATTTGCACCAAAATAAGGATATGTAATTTGCACCATCCTCAGGTAGTAAGAAATAGGAATTGTAATTTGCACCAAAATTAAAATCGATTATTTTTTGATAGTATCACGATAGTACCAACTTACAAGTTTC